GAAGGGAAGCTGCCTCTAGGTGGCGTAATAGATTGAGCACTGAGCCTAGAATCAGGGAGGCATGAAGTCAAATCCAGCCTCAGACACCTACTAGTTATGTTTCCCAATGCAAGTCACTTAACCTTTGTTAGCCTCAGTTTTCTCAGCTGTAAAATGAGGATATGAATAGCAACTGCCTCACAAAGTTGTCGTGAGGATCATGTGAGGTGTTCTTTTTGTTGTTGTTGTTGTTGTTTATTGGGGGGGTGAGGCAATGGAGTTAAGTGACTTGCCCAGGGTCACACATCTAGGGTCAAGTGTTTGATCTGAGGCCGGTTTTGAACTCAGGTCCTCCTGACTCCAGGGCCGGTGCTCTATTCACTGAACCACCTACCTGCCCCAACATGAGGTATTCTTAAAGCACTTAACAATGCCTGGCACAAAATAGGCACTAGGTAAATGCCTATTCCCTCCCCCTTTCCCCACTTCCCTTGTCCAAGGTCACACAGTGGGTTAGAGGCCAAGGTGGGACCTGATTCCCTGGTAAACACTCTCCCTTACATGACAGTTGTTTCAAATGAACACTCATCTTCTTTCTTCACTCCATGATTGTGATGACTTTGGTCAAATATTCTTTCCTGTCCTTGCTGGTTGAAGTCATTGGTTTGCTGTTCTAGGATGGAGTCTTGAAGACCTGGAATGAGGCATCATAATGTGGTTGGAAGAGCTGTGGAGCTAAGCCCAAGGAGACCTATGCTTCTTACTGACTATGCAGCTTTAGACAAATTACTCCTACCCTCTGGGCCTCCGATTCTCATGGGCAAAATTTAGATAGCAATATCTCCCTATAAGAAAAGGTCCTGCATAGTAGATAGAGACCTGGCCTGTGCATCAGGAAGATCTGGGTTTTAAGTTCCACATCTGACATGTCTTGGCTGTGATCATTAACTCTCTAAGGCAGAGGTTCAATGCCTTTTTTGTCTTATGAACCCCTTTGATAGTCAAGTGAAACCTATGGGCTCCTTCTTGGAATAGTGTTGTTGTTCACTTGTTTAAGTTATATCCAGCTCTTTGTGACCCCATTTGAGGTTTTCTTGGCAAAGATACTGGAGTGGTGAGGAAACTGAGGCAAACAGGGTTAAGTGACTTGCCCAGGGTCACACAGCTAGTAAGTGTCTGAAGCTAGATTTGAACTCACAAAGATGAGTCTTCCTGACTCCAGACTACCACTGTGCTACCTGGGTTCCCATACTGTTGTAGGTTTTGTGTTGTTTGTTTGCTTGTGTATTTGTTTTCAATATGTAATTGAAGGAAATGCTAAATTTCTGTTAGAGGTTAGTGAAAATAAAGATGTATTTTTCCCATCTAAGGTCACAGATCTCCTGAATTCTATCCATGGACCCCCACAGATTAAGACCTAAAGCTATAAATTAGAGAGTTGCTGGTTTGTCTTAGCTGAAGGAGTTTCTTTTTTTCTTCCTTTTCAGATGTTTTACTGATGCTCACTTTTTTTGTTTTTATGTCACTGACACTTCCCAGTGACTGTCCCTACAGTTAGATCTCTACTCCCCCCATCCTCACTTCTATCTTAAACACAATCAAGCAAAGCAAATAAATCCATTGGTCACCTATAAAATGCCTGCTCATTCTGTTATAGTTCACCATCTTTTTGGTGGATGGGAAGCATGCTTCAAGATCAGTCCTCTGAAGTCATGATTGGAGATTTCATTGATTAGAGTTCTGATGTCATTCAACATTGTTTTCCTTTATATTATGGTGATCATTCCATAAATTCTTCTCTGATTCTGTTTGCTTTGTTTTGCATTCTTTTAGAAGCTTCCCAAGCTTCTTTGAATCCTTCATATTCATCATTTGTAATGGCATAATAGTATTCAATTAGGTTCATTTCCCACAAATTGTTCAGCAATTCCCTCATTGATGGGTACCCACTTTCCTCTCAGTTCTTTGTTACCCCCCAAATTCTTGTTATCAATATTTTTTGTACATAGGACCTTTCTTTCTGTCTTTGACCTCTTTGGAATATATGCTTTGTATTGGTATCTTTGAGTCAAACAGTATGTTTCAATTAGTTGAGAAACACTTATTAAGCATCTTTAGTGTATCAGGTACTATACTAATCCAAGATCATGGACATAGAGTAGTTTGGGGTTATTGGTCAAGGCTAAAGTGTGACCACCCTTGTGTGTGACTGATGTAGAGTGATGATGGAAGTCATAGACATCAATAAGATTAATTGACGTGGCAGTCACAGTGTTTGAAGAAGAATCAGAAAGAATGTTAATGATGTCAAAGAAGAGAGCAGAAAGGGAGACTGTGATCCAGGTATTGCACTCATTAAGAAGAAGGAAGAACTACAAGGCCTATACCCCAAATACATCAAAGAAAGAGGAAAAAGATCATTACAAAAATATTTATAGCAGCACTTTTTGTGTTAGCAAAGAATTAGAAACTAAGCAGGAGGGGGTCCCCATCAGCTGAAGAATGGCTGAACAAATTAGAGTATATGAATATAATTAAATACTACTGTGCCATAAGAAATGGCAAAAGGGGCAGTTTCAAAGGAACCTTGGGAGGCTTGCATAAACTGAGGAAGAGTTAAGTGGGCAGAATCAGGAGAATAATTTATAGAATAACAACAGCATTATTTTTTTAAAAAATTGAAAGATTTAAGAACTCTGATCAAAGCAGTGACCAACTAGGACTCCAGAGGACCCATGATGAAGAAAGCTACCCACTTCCTGACAGAGAGGTAATAATGAACTCAGTGCAGAATCAGACATACATTTTGGACATGGCCAATGTGGGAATTTGTTTTGCTTGGTTATGCATATTTGTTACGAGTTTTGATTTTATTTTTTCCTTTTTCTCAATGTGAGAGTAAGTGGGAGGGAAAGCAAATAAAGACTTGTTGATTTAAAAAAAAATAAAAGAAAGGAGGAAAAAAATGTCTGGGAATCTGATATATGGCAGCAACAAGAATCTGGACAGTGTGATACAGCCTGGGAGAGGTGAACTTCAAAGGTGACAAATGACAATGGCAGAAGGAGTATCGGAAAGTATTTACAGTGAGCAAGAAGTGTACTGACTTCTTCTTCTGGCCTGTGAGGAAGGAGAGCATAGATAAAAGGCTAGAAGAGACCTCAGAGGTCATCTAGGGCAAACCACTGATTTTACAGAGAAGGAAACTGAAGGCCATGGAGGTCAAATGACTTGCCAACAAATACTCAGATAATAATTGTCAGAAATGAGATTTGAAAGCAAGTTCTCTGGGGGCATGAAAAAAGAACAACTAATACTGAATATAAGGGAAAAGGAAGAGGTGTCTTCAAGAGGGAATCAAATTTCTATGAGCACTTGAAGATGGAAAGATCATGAGCTGATCCTAAGGTGAAAGGGAGTTTGTTAATAATAAAGCAAGGGTTCCAGGAGGTGTGATAGAAAAGGAAGCAAGAGAAGGGTAACGGATGGTGGGGAATTAAACTAGGCTGATATGAGAATAAGAGCAAAGGTGATGGGAAGAAAGGAGCTTTTGTTTAAGCAGTCGGTGACTCATATTCACAGGGGTTAGGGGAACAGAAGGCAATTGGCATGCCATAATACAGGAAAAGTACCAAGGATGGAGATGCATGTAGATTAAATTAACTGCAAACCCCAAATTAGAATGCTGGTGTGAAAATGCCTCTGTCAATGGGTTCTCCTAGGTGGAGCCCCCTCGGTTGATTGAGACAGGAGACAGGAGGATTTTATATGGTAAAGGAGGCTTCTAATGCTGGGCACCATATGCTAGGGATATCCACGTCATTCTACATCTCTCTACCACAGTCCTTTTGGAGGATCAGGGCCTAGGCAGCAGCAATGAGCAGTCAGGCCCAGAAGTGGCCAAAATCCCTCTCTCTTCAACTGTTATTGCCATTTTGTTTTCTCTTTATCCCCTTATCCCTGGAATGTCCTGCCTGCCAGTTCTGTGTGTTTAAATACTACTTAACATTTAAGGGCCAACATAGGTACCTCCTTCACAAGGCACCCTTCCCTGATTTATTCTTCCATCTTCCAAACTTGTCGCTGCAAGTAAGGATGAGCACCTTTGTCAAGCATGGTGCTTCAGGAAAAATATTAGAATGGAGATTCTCTGAGGTTCCTCCCAAATCTGAGATTCTGATTCAATATATGGGTGGATGGATGGATGGATGGATGGATGGATGGATGGATGGTGGATGGATGGATGGATGGATTGTGGGTAGGTGGGCAGATGGTGCAAACAGTCATTGGAAAAAATAAATAAGCCAGGCATGGTAGTACATACGTGTAATCCCTGCTACCAGGGAGGCTGAGTCTGGTGAATTGTTCGAGCTCAGGTGATCTGAGCTGGAGTCACATAATCCAATCAAGCATCTAGAATAAGTCTGGCACCAATACAGTAAGCCCCCAGGAACAGAGAGCCACAAGTCTGCCTAAGGAGGTAAAATTGACTCAGGTCAGAAACAATGCAGGTCATAACTCCCATGTGGATTAGTAGTAGAAACAAGCCTCTGAGTAGTGACTGTACTTCCAGCCTGGGTAAGATAAGGAAAGAGAGAGGAAGTGAGGAAGGGGGGAGGAATATGGGAAGGGAAAGGAAAAAAAGAAAATGACACCTGAGTCTGACCTTGAAAGATAGGATTTAAACAAATTCAGAGGACATCTACCAGGTGCTAGAGACAGAAAGATAAATTGAGACATAGACCTTGCCTTCCAAGATCTTACAAGAAACAAAAATGACACATTTAAAGTTAACTAAAAACACAAGAGGTGAAAGGTATATTCTGGGTGCTAAATAGGTAATGTGGGCAATAAGTACCGGAGGGTTCAGAAAAGAGAGAGTTCATGTAAGACAAAACCACTTTTGCTTGCAGTGGTCATGGGAGTTCCCTATAGGAAAGAAGACCTGCACTGAGTCAGGATAGCTGTAATACAAACATGCTGACTTTTTCTAACCCTCTTCTGTTTTGTTACTATCACAGATCATAAAAATGGAAAAGAATGGAATTGGCTACCACTACATCCTGGCAAACCTGGTAAGTTGGACACCATTGGGTCATATGTGGCTTAAGTGACTTGTCTGGTTTCTGTGTGTCTAAGTGAATTGTAATTCTCTTCCTTTTCAGTACCAACTCTGATTGTGGTCCTAGTCTGTGGGCCATTTAAACCAACAATAGCCCTTGAGAAGAATGTGACAGGCAACCTTACAAATATTGCTTTCACTTCCCAAATCTTCCTGAAAAAGAGTGAACTGGTGTGTGGGTATTCATTAACTATCTCAGTTCCAGCCTCCAAGCCTGGACCATCTTCTCTTTTCCTTCTATACTACTTCATTTGGTGATTTCTTCAACTTCCATAGATTTAATTACAGTCTCTATGCTGATGATTCTCAGATCTACCTATCTTACCCCAAACTCTCTGCTGACTTCCCATTTCCACCTGCCTTTCAGAAATCTCGAACTACACGTCCAGTAGACATCTTAAACTCAATATGGAGTTCATTACGTTTCCCCCTAACCCCTCTCCCCTCCTACCTTCCCTATTGCTGTAGAAGGCAGCACCATCTTCTCAGTCCCTTGGTTCACAACCTAGGAGTCATCCTGGACTCCTCACTGCCCCTCACCTCCCATATCCAAACATCTGTCAATTTCACCTTTACAGCTCTCAAATACACTCCTTTCTTTTCTCTGCCAACTACCACCACTCTAGTGCAGGCCCTCATCACCTTACGTCTGGACTATTGCAATAACCTGCTGGTGGGTCTGCCTGCCTTAAGTCTCTTCCAATCCATCCAAGTCTCACTCCAATCCATCCTCCATTTAGCCAATGAAGTGGTTTTCCTAAAGTACAAGTCTGACTATGTATGTCAATCTCTGCCCCCCCCCCCAATAAACTCCAATGGCTCCCTTTTGCATTCAGAATCAAGTACAAAATGTTCTATTTGGTATTCAAAGCCCTTCATAAACTAGCCCCCTTCTACTTTTCCAGCCTTCTTACACCTTCTCCCCTACTTGCAATACTCTTTGATGTGGTAACACTGGCCCCCAGTTGTTCCACTCCATCTCTCCCCTCCAGGCATTTTCTCTGGCTCTCCCACAGACATCAAGCAAGCACTTACCCTCCTCCACACTTACTATTGACCTCCATTGCCCAACTAAAAGGCCCAACTAGAATCCCATCTTCTACAGGAAGCATTTCCTAACTCCTCTTCATTCCAGTGCCTCCCCTGTATTCCGCATTTTTTTAGTATTTTTTTATTCATCCTATATAATCTGCTTTGTATAAGCCGTGCTTGTGTGTCATCCACTCCTCCCGTTAAATCGTAAGCTGCCTGAGGGCAGGGACTGTCTTTTGTCCCATTTGTATCCATAACATCAGATTAGATGAACTAAGAACAGACTGTAAAGTGCTTAATTCAGTGCCTGCAATGTGTTGTTGTCGAGTCCTTTCAGTTGTGTCCAACTCTTTGTGTTTTATAAATAGATATAGAGATATATATGTTATACATGTTTGTATATACTTATATTTATATACATATATACATTTATTTCCTTCCTTGCATCTTCTCATATCAGGCAAAATGAGAGCTTAATTATTAAATGAACATAAATGAAGGAGTAATATCTTTGTGACCCGTTTGTTGGAGTGGGGGTACAATTTGTATGGCTCAAATTGATGAAAGGACTGTCTTTACCGATTCGTATCTCCTTGGGATAGAAAAGTAACATGACATAGTAGATAGAGAGAGTAGACGGTGGGTGGGCTCAAAATCAGGAAGACTTGTGTTCAAGTCTGCCTTTTATACATACTAGCTGTATGACCCTGGACAAGTCACATCCTCTCAGTGTCCCAGGCCACTATCTAAGACTTTAAGTTTCAGAGAAGGTGCTGATTTTTATTGTTAGAGTGAGTTTTCTCACTGGGAGTTCTTTATATTAAAGAGGATATAGATTTAGCTTTGTTTTGTATTTTTTTAAGTCTCCTCAATGGTCATGATCTTTTTTTGTTGTTGTTGTTCTTCCCCAGTTTGGGGGAGGGGGGAGAAATGATGACTTGGCATGGGAGTGATCAGTAAAAACCTCATCTCAAAGCTTTTTCTTTCTAAAAACAGGTCTGAGTCTGAATCCTCTCCAGTTATCTAGAATGATGCTTTTAATACAAGTAGCACCCCCCTAAGTCCCATGAAGAGCTGAATCATTACCATAGTATTTACTTTTTCTGTGTACTGTGAAAAGGGTCTAAGTTGTTGCTTCCCTAAAGGGAGAGAGAGGGAGGATGCAGCAAATTCCATTTGCAAACGTCCTGTCTAGCCACTGGGGACTAGGAGAACCTAAATGAGAGGATCAGATATTTAGCCCAGGGAATTTCTAGTTTGATATGAAAGTCTGTACTATGCTGATAAATGTATATGGAAGTTAAATAAAGTTTAACATTATATATGTATGTGTGTATGTGCATAAAATTTGTGAAACTATATACTTTTACCCCTCATAAATAAACTCTAGGAAGTATAGACACACTGAGCCTTGGTAGTATGTTGAAATCTAGTACCCTGTGCCTTATGCATAGTAGGCACTTAATATAAGTTTATTGATTTGAATTGAAAAAGAAGGTGCTTGAACTAGAGGGATACCCATGAGGATGAGGATGACAACAGAGAAAGGAAAGGTGAACAAGGGTCAAGTACAACAGAATCCCAGGGCCAGTATGGTGGTGCTTGCCTAGGAAATTTCAGTGAATGATTCAATCCCCTTGGGAAGTCAAAGCCCTTAGTAGGGCCTCAGTCTAGGTCAGTTTCTTACAAAAACAGCCCATTCTTCCAGGCCGGTCGTAAGCCTCAGTAATAACTGGATAGAAATTGCTAATCAACTATAATCAGGAAACTAAAACCAATGGGCCATGGCATGGAAAAGGCCATAGCTGTGGCCTATAGCCCCTGAAAAGAGCACGAATCTCTCAACCATGCCAGTGTTGCCTGAAGTCATCATATAAAACAGGGAGAATCAGGGTTTATTTGCTGTTTCCCATTATATTCTTATAGCAGAGATGATTTCCTTAGAGGAAGAAGAAAAAGAGCCAAGTGGGACTTTTGTCAAAGTAGAGCAGTGTGGCTGTCTGTAATAAGTAAGGGTCTAATGTTCCTAGGGAGATTTTTCCCATTTGTCTGGGTTTACGTTCCATGGGTTACGCGTTATTTGTCCCCGGGAAAGCATTGTGTCCTGGATCACATGCCTTGAGCACAGACAACACAGGATTTAGCCATGATAAATGGGCATCTCAGTGTTTACAAAGTGTGCATCCTTGACAGAATCATCTGAGGACTTTCCTAGTCCCTTGAGTTTTCTCGTGTCTCAGGATATGAAACCTTGGCAGTCAGAGGTCACAGGACCCTAATGGCTATTTCCTAAGGGCCAATGAACTGTTGCTAGAGTGACTCGATGCTCTCTCATCAGGAGCATCACAGACTTAGATGTGGGTAGTGGGTTAGAGCCAGTCAGCTCAAACCAGCTTCTGAGAGATGCTTATTGAATTTTCAGTGTGAGCATTTACACCTCGGAAATCAGCAAATAATACAAATCAGGGCTTGATTTACTGTTCTGTTGATTGTCTAAGTTTAAGAAAGTGGTGGAGAAAATATTAATAATGCTGATTAAACTTAAAAGTGTCTTGCATGAATTTTTTTTTCTTTTCTGGAAAGCCGGTTGTTAGACATTTACCAGCATATCCCTGAGAGCTATACTGTGGATAGTATGTCAGGGTGTAGAACTTAGCTTTAACAGCAACAGATAGATCTATAGGCAACTCTACAGAGTTTGTAGTGAGGGAGTGGACAGGAGAGGGCTGTTGGTGATTCAGAACCAGCCCCCTCACTCTGCAGCAGCAGAGTACATAGCGAATTTGAGAGGTTTTAAGCCCAGGAGAGAAGGGGGTGTGAAGGCTTTTGTAGTATGTAGAAGCAGTTAATATTATCCTGGCTTTTGATTCTTAAGTGCGTGTTTTCTGGGCTTCCCTGGAGTTTTGGAGTTAGGCTGGATGCTTGGGGATAGGATGTGGAAATTTGTGTCTCTCTGTGCTCCTTTTGGAGATAAGGAGCAAGAATATAGCCACCAATTGTGTCAGTCTGGGACTTGTAGAAGTATTTGGTGGTCTGCCCCATGACTAAAATTTCCTGAATGTATGTAACAACGATGATTGTTAGTTAACATCTAACTAACGCTTTAACATTTGCAAAGTCACTTCCCTTAAAACAATCCCCGACTTGGGCCTAGGTCTTCTAAACCACAGGTACGATATTCCTTTCACCTGTATTTATTGCTGTTATTCCAACTCAGCCATTAACTATCTGGGTAACATCTGGCCCGTCACCTAACCACTCTGTGCATCTGTTTCCTCATTGGTGAAATGGATTTTTAAAAATTGTTATACTTCTACCTTACAAAGTTGTTGGGAGGAACATACTTTATAGACAGGAAAATAATGGTTGTTGATAAGTGTTAAAGTTCATAATAAAAAAAAGAAAAAATTAGTAGGAAAGTGCTATAGAAATGTCAGCTGTTATTGATACTATTATCCCACTTGAGAATGCTTGGATTTTAAATAACTGGGGCCTCCTGGGAAATGTATATCTTGGGGATATAAGAGAATAAATCTCTAATGGTAGAATTCATAGAGGAGAAGCTTTAGGGTTCGAGCTCCCCTGAAATCAAACCTCGAAGGTGACCACCTAATTTCCCTTTGTATAGCGAGAGCAGCCTGGTGATATGCCTCAATCAGCACGAGACTGTGATCACTAAACAGTTTCCTAAGAGCTACTGAATAAAGGTTGGGGTCCATATTCCACTGTGTGGGCTACCACTGCCCCAGAGTTTCTCTTGTTACCAAGGTAGTTCATTCAGTTTCCATTCACCACTGGAATTGCCCCTTTCCTCACAGCTATCCATGAAACTTCAAACTAATGGGATGTAAATTGCAAATAGTATTTAAACACAGAATTCGTATATGCTCAAATAGATTAGTTGATAATTAAGCTTCAAAT